GTACATGTGTCAAATGAAATATATGAAAATGAACCACTGTTCAACACCCAGCTCGAGTCTCCAAAATACTGTGTGTTTAAGTGTAAATATCTTTTGTACAGTAGAATAAAACCAAAGTGATGCATATGTGCATAAAATATAGATTCTACACTTTCAAACGAAACCACTTACGGGGGTCTGGTGCAATGCTAGCCCTTTAAATCTGAAAGTGAAAGTTGATGATGTCACGGACCCGGCAGAGTTTAACTGGTTAAAAACTGGAAAAAAGAAACATCCCTCATTTATGCCAGACACTAGAAATAGACATGCAGTCAAATCTAAACATTACATTTAGTCACTCATTGAGGACAGATGAATGCTGGTTGTGTTTGTGATGCTTGTTCTCTGATTGTAAGGATTTTGTCTGCATTTCAGGGCCACGAATCAATGCTTCCGATCAGGAGATCTTGCAGCCTAAAAGCTCCAAAACTAGCCAGGATCCTCCGGAGCCGATCGTGCTGAAGTGTAACCTGACCAACTCACACAGCACACACCAGGAGACCTTCTGGATGAAGAACGGCCAGGAGATCTCCAGCAGCAGGACACAGCGCAAGCACACCGAGTTCAGGTCAGACCAGCAGTCCGATCACTAAATACACATGTCTGTCTATGATAAGGTCATTCTGGGCAAAAAGATTAATTGCATCCAAAGTAAAAGTTTGTTTTGGCATAATATATGTGCTTTAAAAAAATCCATTGAATTTACTAAGGTGGCACGGTGGCTCAGCAGTTAGCACTGTGGCCTCACAGCAAGAAGGTCACTGGTTCGAGTACTGGCTGGGATGTTCTCCCCATGTTGGTGTGGGTTTTCTCCGGGTGCTCCGGTTTCTCCCACAGTCCAAACACATGCGCTATAGGGGAATTGATTAACTAAATTGGCCGTAGTGTGTATGTGAATATGAGAGCACTGGGTTGTGGCCGGAAGGGCATCCACTGCCTAAAACAGGGGTGTCCACACTCGGTCCTGGAAGGCCAGTGTCCTGGAGAGTTTAGCTCCAACCCTAATCAAACACACCTGAACCAGCTAATCAAGCTCTTATTAGGTATACTAGAAACATCCCGGCAGGTGTGTTGAAGCAAGTAGGAGCTAAACTCAGTAGGACACCGGCCCTCCAGGAACGACTTTGGACACCCCTGGCCTAAAACATATGCTGGAATACTTGGCGGTTCATTCTGCTGTGGCGACTGCTCATAAGTAAGGAACTAAGTCGAAGGAACAGGAATTTTGTTCACAGTGTGTATATATATATATCTTCTTCCCTAGCTTACTTAAATCTAAAAACTTAATCTAGTTTTTATTTATTTATTTAATTTTAATTTTAATTTTTGCTTATTAGATTTATGTTACAGTATGTCCTATAGGTGTTCAGTAACTTAATCCAAGCATCAAAACATAATATAAAATTATATTATATAAAAAATTTTTAGTTTCCTTTAAGTCTCATACAGTATTTATAAATAAAGACAAGTAATGAGGCTTATTATTATTATTATTATTATTATTATTATTATTATTGCCATATAGTTAGCTAAATGCTTTGCTAATTCATGTTTATCGTTGTTGTTCTTAAAGGCAAGGCAAGTTTATTTATAAGGCACATTTCATACGCAATGGTGGTTCAAAGTGCTTCACATGAGCAGGAATAAAAGAGACAAGAAAATAAAAACAACAAAGAATAAAAATGATTCAAAACAGATTAAAATGTGTTAAACAGGTTATAAAAGAATGAAAACGAAAAGAAAGTCATGATAGTGTGATCTGTCGGACGTAGCAAAGTGCTCATTCAGTAAAGGCTCAGCTAAACAGATGTGTTTCAGTCTTGATGTGAATGTGCCTAATGCTTTTAGTGCTTTTTTTTAAATATTCCCAAATCGTGTTTAATAGAGCATTTTCACAGCCTGTCTGAAAGTCTTATTTTTTATTTATTTTATTTTGGCTTTTAAAATTTTTAAACACCATTTTAAGGACAATATTATTAGCCCCTTTAAGCTATATATTTTTTTCAATAGTCGACAGAACAAACCATCGTTATACAATAACTTGCCTAATTACCCTAACCTGCCTAGTTCCCCTAATTAACCTAGTTAAGCCTAAATGTCACTTTAAGCTGTATAGAAGTGTCTTGAAGAATATCTAGTAAAATATTATTTACTGTCATCATGGCAAAGAGAAAATAAATCAGTTATTAGAGATGAGTTATTAAAACTTGTCATGATCACCAGCGATCTAATCACTAGAGTTCGCCGGTAAACATTTAACTAAATCCACCATGTTATGGACTACAGATCCCAGTGATGCACCACACACACAACCGTTCCATATTCTGACTGATTACACTTTCACAGTTGATGCTGGTTTTGGACTGATTACTGTACTACATAAGAGTCTTGTGATTTGTTCTAGTGACATTACAACACGTTTCCTTTGTTTTGCTTTACCGTGTTTTTGATCATCGCCTTGTTTATTTGTTTAATCCTGTTAGCTGCCTGCCTCTGACAATCTGCCGGCCTATTGACTACGAATCTGGATTGACTGTATACATCTGTTTGCCCCTGTGTTGATCATTGCTGGGCTGACGTCCCTAATAAACCTGCATGTGGATCCGCACCTCTGTTGTCAGTGTCACTTCCCTGGTTACAAAACTATTATGATTAGAAATGTATTGAAGAAATCTTCTCTCCGTTAAACAGAAACTGGGGAAAAATAAACAGGGGGGCGAATAATTATGACTTCAACTGCATGTTGATTTACGTACTGCTTTGACATGACTACTGAAGCTCAGATCTGACTGCAGAATAACACCAAGATTCTTGAACTTGGACCCTCATGGCCCATTTCCACTGACTGGTACAGTACTGTATTGCACGAGTCGGTACAGGTCACCTATATCAGGCTTGCATTTCCACTGTCATTCCCAGTTCATAATAGTCCAGAAGGTGATGATAATAGTTAAACATGGCAGTTTGTTCATGTTTTAGGTTGCTGAAAGAATCATTTGCTTTGTTTTTCGCGCTTCACTTGCGTTTTGTTCATTTCTGAAAGGATCAGATGTTAAAAGTGCTTCAGTGATTACGGGCATGTCGTTATCATCAGCTCAGGAAGTCTGTTACTTCAAATATAGACGCATGGCGAATGCAAGCAAGAAAGCGCTCCATACCACACCACCACCAGTGTGCAGCATCCACTTGGATGATGCGACGGCATGGGAATGATTGGGAGGCCATGATCGTAAGGGCCGATAGAGGGACTTTGGGGATTTTTAATGACCACAGAGAGTCAGGACCACGGTTTAACCTCTCATCCGAAAGACGGCGCCCACTGACAGTGTAGTGTCCGCTTCACTATACTGGGGCATTAGGACTCACACAGACCACAGGTTGAGCGCCCCCTGCTGGCCTCACTAACACCACTTCCAACAGCAACCTAGTGTTCCCTAGTGGTCTCCCATCCAGGTACTAACCAGGCTCAGCCCTGCTTAGCTTCAGTGAGTAACCGGTCTTGGGCTGCAGGGTGATATGGCTGTGGCTATGTATATGTATGTATTATTTCAGTGTAATGTCTCGGCTTTTTTGTCTTGTCCACAGGTGAGTGTAAACCAATAGCGTTCAGCTGCGTGTCTAGCTCTGCCTTTTGGTACCCTTTTGTTGTGCTAGGTATCCTTCCGAAAGGGTGCACAAAAAGAGGTACGGTTGCTTTTAGGTACCTCTTACAGTGCAAATGGCCATAAAAGCAAACCGTACCGTACCACTCAGTAAAAATGGGCCATTAGAGCCAAAGGGACGCATTCACTTTAGGAAGCTCATCTCTCTTCCTAAATGACTTCTGTTTTCTCTTTGTTTAACTAAAGAATGTTTTGGCACATCCAACTGTTAGGATGTTAGACCTGTTTTAAATCTGCCACTATGCTGACACATATGCATTTAAAGCTCCGCCCTCTTCTGAGCTCAATCTCATTTGAATTTAAAGCGACAGTCACCAAATCACCACAATTAGGATCAAAAAAGGGTCAGTTTCAGAGAGTTATACACATGATCCCTGTGCTATTTTGAGCTGAAACTTCACATTTTCCATCTTGTTAAATAAGTGTGTTTGTAGATAGTAGAGATTTGTGTGTGTGTGTGTGTGTTTGAGCTGCCACTGATTATGTCTGCTTGTGTTTTGCAGGTTAAATAAGCCCAGGACTGATGATTCTGGAGAGTACATGTGTGTTTACACCTTTAAATCGGCACCCAATGCCAATGCTTCCATTGAGGTCAAAGGTAAGAGACGCATTCAGGAAACTCATTAACAAAGCCTTATCGCCATGGAGACGCTGACGACCCAACCCGCCTTATAATTAGCTATTGTTTGAGTTGTAATTAGCCTCTGTTCACCTTAAAATACACTCAGTGCTGGTACAGACTGTGTGTGTGTGTGTGTGTGTGTGTGTCAAGATGCCCAATCACTGCTGTTACTCACAATCACAGCAACCCTCCAACAAAGTGTGTTTATGTGTGTTTTGCTGGATGTGTGTGTGTGGGAGTGTATATACGTGTGTTTGGGTGCGTGTGTATATCTGTGTATACTGTATGTGTGTGTGAGTGTATATGTATGTGTGTGTGTGTTTGTGCTTGTGTGCATGCATGCATGTGTGTGCATGAGAGTGTGTGAGAAGACAGAAATAGGCCAGTATGGACTGTGTGTGTGGAGCAGAGTGTGTGTGTCTGCAGGCTGCGGGCAGAAACGGCGTCTGAACACACACACACACACACACACAGAGACATCAGAGCGTTACGTAAGTCGTGCTTAAAGAGGTCTGACGCCGCTGTCAAAACACATCGGCTTTAACACTGAGGAAGACGAAGAAGAGCTCAGACTGTGGCGGCTCTACACACACACACACACATGCGTACATAAAACATACAATACCTGTGTGTGCAGAATATGAGCATGAGTGGATTCACAAAACCTGACGGTCAAGAACATTCCTGGAACATTTCATTATAATCACACACACACACACACACACACACACACACACACACACACACACACACACACACACACACACACACACACACACACGCACACACACACACACACACGCGCGAACACACAGCCACAGACAGATACATACACATTCACATACTCACTCACTCACTCACACATACATACATACATATACACACACTCTCACACACAAATACACCCACACACACATATATACTTACATATACACACACTCACACACAAATACACGCACACATAGATATACATGCGCTCACAAACAAAAACACACAGACACACATACGCACTTACGTACTTACTCTCACATTTACACATACACACACACACACACACCTGATCAATTGATCAGTCAGCTTTCAGGGTTTTGCAGATTGAATAGTACAGGTGAACATTTATATCAAATTATGCAGTAAAATTTTGCCGCATATATTATATTATGGCATCACAGTGGCGCAGTGGGTAGCATGATCGGCTCACAGCAAAAAGGTCGCTGGTTCGAGTCCCAGCTGGGTCAGTTGGCATTTCTATGTGGAGTTTGCATTTGGCTTGAGTTTCCTCCGGGTGCTCCGGTTTCCCCCACAGTCCAAACACATGCGCTATAGAGGAATTGATAAACTAAATTGGCTGTAGTGTATGAGTGTGTTTGTAAAACATATGGTGGATAAAATGGTGGTTCATTCTGTTGTGGCGACCCTGAAAACATGAATCTTTTTGGCTTAGTCCCTTTATTAATCTGGGGTCACCACAGTGGAATGAACTGCCAACTTATCCAGCATATGTTTTCCTTCAGCTGCAACCATCACTGGGAAACACCCACACACTCTCGTTCACACACATAAACTACAACCCACTCCAAAACGGGGAGAACATGGCATATCATCCAGCCCAAATAATATAATATAATATAATATAATATAATATAATATAATATAATATAATATAATATAATATAATATAATATAATATAATATAATATAATATAATATAATATAATATAATATAATTAATATAATATAAAAATATCTTATCTAATCTAATCTAATCTAATATATATTTATTATATTTATTATATTATATTATATTATATTATATTATATTATATTATATTATATTATATTATATTATATTATATTATATTATATTTTAAATATAATAAATATAACAAAAAATATATAATATAATATAATATTTTTACATTTTATTATATTTATAATATTTTATTATATTATATATTATATTATATTATATTATATTATATTATAAATATAATAAAATATAAAAATATATAATATAATATAATATAATATTTTTACATTTTATTATATTATATATTTATATTTTATTATATAATATTACATTTTATTATATTTTATTACATTGTATTGTATTTTATTATATATTTTTATTTGATTTTATATTATTATATTATATTATAACATATTATATTATATTATATTATATTATATTTTGTTATATATTATTATATTACAATAAATTTGATTATATATTATTTTATTTTATTATATAATATATTGCATTATATCTTATTGCAATAAAAGCAAAAACTCTTTGACAGCTTTTTTTAGGACTGCACTTTTGAAAACTTTTCCATTGTAAAAAGATTCTCAAAACAAACTTGTCGCGAAATATTCCTGATTTTCCTTCAGTAAAGTACAGTGTGGGATTCAGATTTTAAACTTGTGTTGATATATGAGCTGCAAATGTTGTAGATGCTCAGAATGTGTTCATCCTATCTGATCATATGAGCTGAATGTGTGTGTTGTCCAAGCTGAGTGTGTTGCTCTACATCTGTTCAGCCTCCGAACACTTCAGTATTTGGCACCTCTCTCTTTCTGTATATATATATGTGTGTGTGTGTGTGTGTGTGTGTGTTTGTTTGTGTGTGTATGTGTGCGTGTGTGTGTGCGTGTGTGTGTGTGTGTGTGTGTGTGTACTACACAGTACTGGTTTAGCTATAATTGTGTGCACTTCTGTAATATTTAGCTATAGAGGGCTCAATTGTTCTCACTTATAAAGTAAAATGAACTAAAATGAACTAGAAAATGAATGAATGGTGAACTAAAAAACTGGTTCTCACTAATTAATAACTGCTTATAAATATTGCTCATAACATGTTTATATTAGTATCTAATGATTGGCCATCGACAAGATCATTAACCTGATAGAAAAACAATGGAAGTCTATGTAATGTCCTCACTAAGATAGGAAAACAAGCTGCTGTCATTTGTGTGTATGTGTGTGCAGTGTTTGTAAGCGCATTTCTATTGGTCTCTCTCTCTCTCTCTTTCTCTCTCTCTCTCTTTCTCTCTCTCTCTCTCTCTCTCTCCCTCTCTCTCTCTCTCTCTGTGTGAGGCAACAGATGGAGGTTTTTTGGTGGGTTGGGTTGGGATTAAGGCTCTGGATTCACTGCCAGCATTTCTACTGTCCACTATCATAATCTGCCCTCTGTGCACGCGCACACACACACACACACGCATACACACACACACACTAAATAATGTGCTGTCTGTGCACAGTATTCAGCGGTCGCTCTTCCATATGTTAACCTAATGTAATATAATCACGTCAGGTGCATTAAACCCACCTGTGTGTATGAGTGTGTGTGTGTGTGTGTGTCACGGCTCCATCTGTCAAGTATGTGTGTACGTGTGTGTGTGTGTGTGTGTGTGTGTGTGTGTGTGTGTGTGTGTGTGTGTGTGTGTGTGTGTGTGTGTGTGTGTGTGTGTGTGTGAGTGTGAGTCACTGTTACTCCATACATCACCCTGCATGAGTTCCTGTCCCCGTCCTGCAGTATATTTCTCCATCTGTCGCCTGTTTGGGTGTAGTTTGTGTTTCAGGCTCTACAAATAGCCGAGTGTTACAGATATATCAGTTTCTCCACAGCGCTAGATCTAGCTCTGAGCTGCATTGATCGACACACTTCCGCTGGCCATCATAATACTGCAGCGTCATCATGATCACAATGAGTCACACTTACAAATAACATGGTAAATCAGCTGTATTTACTATAGCACTAAATGTGAACAATACTAGTGCAGCATTTATTAATCACGGTTTAACATTTACTTATTTATTCACTCATTTTACTGCGGCTTAGTCCGATGAATGAATGAACCATTATAGAGTGTGTGTATATAAATACATACACTCACCGGCCACTTTATTAGGTACACCTGTCCAACTGCTTGTTAATGCAAATGTTTAATCAGCCAATCACATGGCAGCAACTCAGTGCAGTTAGGCATGTAGACATGGTCAGGATGAGCAAAGGGGATTTAAGTGACTTTGATCTACTAGGATTTTCACGCACAACCATCTCTAGGGAAAGAGGAAATATCCAGTGAGCGGCAGTTCTGTGGGCGCAAATGCCTTGTTGATGCCAGAGGTCAGAGGAGAATGGCCAGACTGGTTCCAGCTGATAGAAAGGCAACAGTAACTCAAATAAGCACTCGTTACAACCGAGCTCTGCAGAAGAGCATCTCTGAACACACAACACGTCCAACCTTGAGGCGGATGGGCTACAGCAGCAGAAGAGCACACCGGGTGCCGCTCCTGTCAGCTAAGAACAGGAAACTGAGGCTACAATTCACACAGACTCACCAAAACTGGACAATAGAAGATTGGAGAAATGTTGCTGCTCTGATGAGTCTCCATTTCTGCTGACACATTCGGATGCTCGGCTCACAATTTGGCCTCAACAACATGAAAGCATGGATCATCCTGCCTTGTATCAGCGGTTCAGGCTGGTGGTGGTGGTGTAATGGTGTGGGGGAGATTTTCTTTGCTCCATTAGTACCAATTGAGCATCAACGCCACAGCCTACCTGAGTATTGCTGCTGACCATGTCCATACCTTTATGAGCACAGTGTCTCCATCTTCTGATGGCTACTTCCAGCAGGATAACGCAGCATGTCATAAAGCTCAATCATCTCAGACTGGTTTCTTGAACATGACGATGAGTTCACTGTACTCAAATGGCCTCCACAGTCACCAGAGCTCAATCCAATAGAGCAGCTTTGGGATGTGGTGGAACGGGAGATTGGCATCATGGATGTGCAGCCGACAAATCTGCAGCAACTGTGTGATGCTATCATGTCAACATGCAGCAAAATCTCTGAGGAATATTTCCAGTACCTTGTTAAATCTCTGCCATAAAGGATTAAAGCAGTTGTGAAGGCAAAAGAGAGTCCAACCTGGACAGGTGTACCTAATAAAGTGGCCAGTGAGTGTA